GAGATTTTCCATGAACTAAAAAAGGTCTTATTTTGAGCCCCTCTTGAAGTTTGATTAAGGTCATTTTTCTGTTTGGAGTCATCTTCTTCCTTGCATGCTTCATTTCCTCATGCTTTGAGCCATGTATTTGAGCATTTGCATTGGCCTTGGTTTGGCCTCTTAGCCACTGAAATCCAGTGGATTTTTAGTGGCTTAGATGTGTTTTTGAGAGTTAAAATCAGAGGGGGGTGACCCCCTCTCTCCTTGTCTTGTTTGTTGGCCCTTTTGGCCTTCCAAAGGCGCCCCATCTTGCATGCTTTGAAGTCTTGTTTCAGGCCCTATTATGTGAGTTTTGAGGTCTGCCTTAGCTCTATCCAGAGCCCCTTTGACCATATTTTATGTCTATGATGCATATGTAGAACAATCCCATTCAAGGCCTTTCAAAGGGGCCTTTCATTGCATGCTTCCTAGACTAATTTCAGGGCCTTTTGGGTGAGTTTTAGGACTGTCATAACTTATTTCTAGAGGTGATTTTGCCCTTTTGCCTGTCTATCATGTATGTGTAGAACAACCCCTCGGATGGCTTTCCAAAGGGGCTCATCATTCTTGCATGTGTTGACTGAGTTTCAGTGGTGATTTGGGCATATTTTGGCATGAAATACTTCTGTTTTTAGCTGGTTGGGTGAGCCCTCATATGCTTCATATAGTTGTAGAACAACTCATGGTTTACTAGCTTTCTTTGCATGCTTTATAGGCCATTGATTCTATCATATTTTGGTGATGCCTTAAACTGATAATGTGCTTATTTTGGACTTCCCTAGCTCTATTTTTGGGTCTTGTGGTCGAATGATGTTAGTTTTGCATGCTTGTAGTTCAAGGTCCATGCTTAGCTTTGAGTTTTGAGATCCATTCCATGCATATACTGAGGTGTGTTCATGTTTTTAGCCTATTATTCATCACATCTCAGAGCTTGTTTGAATGCCATATTACCATGTTTTCATCTCTTTAAATGCGTTTGAGAGTCAGACTTGTATACCCCATTTACCGACCATTGAATGAGCTCCATTTCGTTGTATTTCGAGTCATCATTTTAGGTCAATTTCCCACTGTTTCAGACCTGCCTAGGGTCTTTTTGGGGTTGGTTTTGCCTTTGGTGCATTGCTTTGGGTACCCCT